AGGAATAATAGAGACTTACTTAGAAATAGAAGAACTATAGAATAAGTTATATAATAATAAAATAAGAGATTAGATCTATATACTAAGAATATAGAGGCTATCCTTAGTAAAGATAGATATTATAAGTATAAGGAATAGACCTTATTAGAGTTAAGAATAGTATAGAATAGAAAGTACTACTTAAGACTTATATATAGTATAACTAAAAGCTTAGCTTATAGTTAGACTTCTATAGCTCTTTAGTAATTAATTTTATATTTATCCTTAGGATACTTTTAGCTTACTTTTACTATAAATACTTATTAAGTCTAAGACTAATTACCTTAGCTTCTAACTATCGATCTATAATACAGCTAACACCTTACGACCTAGACCTTATAACCCTGAAGTACTGTTTAGAACGTCAATCCCCAGCTTCTGTTAGCAGACCCTACTGTCGGATAGCTGACTGTAACAACCCTCTCTCCATCCACATCTGCCCGTCCGTCCTATTATCGCTGCTACTCTCTATATGCAGTCTCTCCATATGCAGTACTGCGAACTGCGGTCCTATGGTTCACGCTTCTGCAATATGGCACTTTCTCGGGCCCTTCTAATCAAACCCCCTCTCTATGCTGGGACGGAAGAAAGCACACATAAAGGACTCGTACATCGCATATTCCCATAGGCAGAGGCTGCCCAAACTGAAATGCCATGCAGATGCGTAGCGAGAGTCCGCGCAAGCCTCTTGCTTCCCCCCAGGCTGTACCCATATCGAACCCTTGCCATGCGACTGCTTCCACCTCACATTTGCAATTGGCATACGGAGTACAGAGCATCCCCCCCCCTATCTTTCTCACCATCGAAACGCCCGTGGCTGTGGCTGCAGCAAGCCCGCCGAGCCCCCTGCCGCCCCGTTGCGCGTACCGGCCGCTGCTGGCTGCTGGCTAGCTCTGCTGGCTATACTAGTCCGCTTCTGACCGTGCCGCAGTGTGAGTGTTTTGTCGGCTGCTGATGTGAACATGATATGATAAGCCCTTGCCGCGGCCGCGTACAGCAAGAGACAGGCCCGACTGCAGAATGCGTTTCCCGCTAATACAACACCGGACGCATCAAACAGTCATCCTCGGCAGGGCAGGCAGACAGGCATGCAGTGCGCTGTCGGTTTTGTCAGCGTTCGAGGCGGCGCCGGGCTCTCTTCTAAGCGGAACCGAGGCGGGCGGGAATAACAAGACACCATGCAAAACAATACCGCGTACAGCACCAATACCTCAGGATTATTAACCATCTCCAGCGGCTCCGTCTTTCCCAGAGTAGAGCGGGACTAGCTAGCAGCGAGGGATGTGTATCGGAGGCACGGCGAGGTTTATCTCCTGGCGCCGAGTGGAATGAACGAAGCTATTCAGTATCTCCCCATTATCCTCCTATCTACCTCCGGGATACCCGTTCAGTACGAAATGCCGTCCTCCTAACCCGCTATCTCCATAAGTCCGTCCGCGTCGAGGAGACCCGCTGTGTCCTTCTCCGTGCGGTGCCGAGCCCGAATACTCCTCTCCCCCCTTCCTTGTATTCTGAAGTATTCGCATTCGGTATGGTGCATAACCCCGCGTGCCCTCCACCCTTCGAGGAGAGGGGAAGGCTTGGGCCCCTTGGGTGTCGTCTCATGCTCAGCTTAGCATGCCGTCGAGGACTAACTAAGTCTGCACCTTGCGCTCAAAGTTGAGACAGCGCGCCCAATCATTAGCCCGGATCGCGGTTCGGGCTTGGCAAGGTTCGCGGGCTCCTTCATTCATCAGGAAGGACCCTTGCGGGAGGGATGGGGTTATCAGATAATCAGTCACCTGTCCCCGTCAGTGCGTGTCGTGTCAAGTCAAAGTCTCTCGTCCCTTGGGGGGCGGCCACGGGATCTGGCTGCCTTTGCCTCCAGTCTGCCGTGCCTTAGCCTGCCGATAGAGATACCCTTAGGCCAGCCGCTACTGCGGTCGCGCGCGAAAGATGTAGGCAGCGCGGGCGGGAATGGGGGGAGGACGGAGGAGGGGGAAGGGTAGACTCAGGCTGCCCATCGAGTTCCCAGTCCCGTATCGAATAGCCTTCCGAGTGCATCGTGATCAGACGAAGAATTCCATCCAGGCCGGCACCAGCGAGATCGCAAACCCCTATTCTCCTATCGCCCCTGTCTATCCCTCGTAACCCAAATTACACGACTATTGTCAAACCCTCTTCCCCGTCGCTCCAATCTTGGACGATGGACGATGGTCCGTCCTCCGAGAGAGCTCTCTCACAGGTTCTAGGTTTTACCACGGGTGGTTGGTTGCTCTAATTAGAATTAGCGTGCTTGCCGCTCTTGCTCAGGCTCGGCTCAGGCTCGGCTCAGCGCAAGCTCAGCCACACTTCAGCCAATACTCTAGTTGGGGTTTTGTGCAGATTATGCATAACGACTGCTAGAAACGGTTGCTCCGGAATAGCGTTAATCGTTTGAAGTTTTGGACAAATACGGTCGCCGTAAACTTCTTCGCTTTCTCTATATTAATTGCAATGGCTATCAACACAATTCCTTAACAATCCCATGGCGATTTACTTAGTACGTATGAGCGATGTACAAGTTTACTTCAGACAAGAGTGTCACACCCCGGAGTGATGCTGGTGGAGTCATTATGCCTACGGTCGAGGGACAAGCGGCGCGAGTTTGATCACCTTCACCTTTACCCCCAGTGCTCGCATCGCCGCAGCAGACATGGACAGTCATCATCAACGCGAAAGCCCTTCGAGGGTGCAAGATGGCCCTCGCCGTGGGACGTACCAACCAAGTGATAGACCGCCTACAATGCGACCACCAATGAATGGCTTGGTGCATGAGCTGCTGATTACCTTGGTTCTGGTCGGTGTGCGACATGGGTTCCAGGTTGGCAACAAACATTTTTTGCATGCATCGGGTTCTTATGCCCGCGTCAACAGGAAGGAGAGGAGGCGCGGCTTGGTGCCTTGTACCACGGTGCAATGACCGCCTTACCTGAGGACGCATTCGTTTCTTCGACACATTGAACTTCTTCTTCAACTTCGCTTGACGCCTGGCCCGAAACTCGTACCGCCTAGAACGGTGCATCATCTCAGCGCAAATGCCGTCGCATATCAATTCTGACGGACCGGCTCACGCAATTGAACGAGAAAGCCTCGAGGATGAATCAAAACCTGCCAACGCAACGGAAGCGTTCGACGACGGCGCCCCAGCGCCGCAGATCGCCTACTCGCTATTCACAGCCAGGGAGCGTTGGACCATCGTCGCCCTCATCGCGCTGGCCGGCTGGTTTTCTACCTCGAGCAGCTTCATCTACTATCCCGCGATCACGGCGATTGCCCGGGATCTCAACTCGACGATTTCGCTGATCAACACGACCGTCACCGCCTATCTTGTTGTCTCCGGCATCGCCCCGTCCATCGTGGGGGATGCGGCCGACAGCTACGGGAGGCGGCCCCTGTACATCATCCTGCTGACGCTCTATGTCGCTTCAAACGTGGGTATCGCCCTGCAGCGGTCGTTCGCCGCCCTTCTCGTGTTGCGCATGCTGCAAAGCGCGGCCATCTCTGGTAGGTCTACCGCCGACTGCTGGGGATCTATATTGATGGCGGGAAATGTTCTGACGAGAACATCTACAGGAACATTCTCCATTGCATACGGTGTCGTTGCGGACATTGCAGCTCCCAGTGAACGCGGAGCATATGTCGGCATCATCTCGTGTGGGTGAGTTGGATCAGAAATGCCCAGCCGTCGAACCCTCCAAGCAGCCCGCTCACTAATGATGCCCTGAGACAGAATCACCACAGCGCCCAGTGTGGCTCCTGCCATTGCTGGCGCCCTGGCGAATGGGCCGGGCTGGCCATGGATCTTCTGGTTCCTAGTCATTGCCTCTGGATCCAGCCTGATTGCAATGGCTCTTATTCTCCCAGAGACGAATCGTGCACTGGTCGGCAACGGCGGAATGAAGCCAGCAATCCACTCACAGCCGTTAATCGGGAAAATCATGCGTCCTTGGAGCCACGAGGACCGCGGCTTGACTTTGTATGTCGAGCCGTCAGCCAGGAATCATCCCAATCCACTACGGAGCCTGATGTTACTCCGCCGTAAGGACACGGCAGTCGTCATAGTCGCCGGCGGCGTCCATTACACCGTGTACAGCTGTATCCACGCATCCTTGTCTACCACCTTCATGGTCGTCTATGGCCTTGGTCAGCTGCAGGCCGGTCTCATTTACTTGCCCTTCGGCATCGGTGCCATCATATCGACTCTCGTATCCAGCAAATGGATCGACCGGGATTATCGACTTGTTGCGAGGGCTCACGGGTTGTCCATCAACAAAGTCTCGGGGGACGATCTACTTCGATTCCCTATTGAAGAGGCGCGGATGAGGAGCGTCTTCTGGCCGGCCATGACAGCTGTTTCTTCAGTCATAGCTTATGGCTGGGTTGTTCATCACAGGGTTGTGAGTTTTTCATGTTAGCGCATATCAAAGCAGTCTTCGCCATCGGGTGGCTGACACGCAGAACCGGGACAGCATCTGGCTGGCCCCCTAACACTGTTGTTTCTGGCCGGCTGGTCAATACAGACCTGCTTCAATGTGAGTGAGCCTGGCAACGCTTATTCGATTGCTGTCGCTGACACTCGCAGATAAATAACACCCTCCTCGTCGACATCAACCAAGACTTTCCCGCTACTGCGCAGGCATCATCAAACCTGGTGCGGTGCTTGCTCTCCGGCCTCTTTGTAGCTGTACTGCAACACATGATCGACGGTGTCGGCTTTGGCTGGACATTCACAATTTTCGGCCTGCTTTGCCTAGTCCCGGCCCTGATGTACTACCTGGAATTGAAGTATGGTCGCCGCTGGAGACTGGCGAGGCACGGCCTGAGTGTCGCTCAGGTCCAGAGTGAAGCTACTCTCCCTGGTAGCCCTCGGGGTACTTCTCCGCCAGCCGCCTGATGTCGGATATCAACCTGGTCGCACCGCAAACAGTCAGCAGGGTAAATCACGAAACTCCAACAAGAAGCCTTGTGTACACTGACATCTTCCGAAAGTTGTCATTGCCTGGATACAGGGTCGAAGCGCACAGGTGGCCATGCCTAAAATGGTCAGTCCAGTACCGGTTGTCGCGGGCGATCCAGTCCCCAACCTAGGCTTTCAGAGACTTACATGGCATAGACCACGTTGCGGTCTTCGTAGTCCTCTTCGGGCGCAGAGATTGGGAAGTGCTTGTGATATTCCTGCATCCAGTGCCGCCCCATGCGGTATCGAGGCGTTCCCATGTTTCCGAGATCCACTGTTTGATCAAAAGAAGCGCGTCAGTCGAGGACTCTGGGCGGCTGCATTCTCTCAGGCGGCGAAACGAAATACGAGGAGACAACTTACGCTCATTGTGACCCCAAATCACCGAGGGGTCGAAGAACAGGGGCTCGCCATTCTCCGCGTTGATGGCAAGGTTTCCGTACCAGATGTCACCGTGGATCAGGACGGGCTTGATTTGGCGACCGTGTGTCTGCAGAGGCCGTAACAGGCGGGGAATGATCTTGTCCATGAGAATCGGCAACAATTCGTCCAGCTCTTCGCTGGGCCCCTGCGACTCGCGCTCTTGTTCTGCGAAGGCCTGCATTTGAAGCTTGTACGACTCCTCCCACGACTTTGACCAGGTCACATCCTGGTACATCCTGCCTTCGTACGTCACGACATCAAAACCGAAAGAATCGGCCGCGTCCGGCGAGTTCATGCTGTCGTGGTGAAGCTTGGCGAGCATCGCGCAGAACTTGCCGACATCGGGGAGCTCCTCAATCATGTCGACAAAGTCGCAGAGGTAGAAATGCGTGTCGGGGTCGGAACGGTAGGTACCCCAACCTACTGCCCGAGGAATCCCTTCGGGGACGTGCTTGTGCAGGGCACTCACGCCGTGGAACTCGCCACGAAGCATTCCCTTCCCGACATCTCCCGTGGCCACCTTCATGAAGTAGCAATGTCGCGTCTTGTCAGGCCACTCGATTTCGATGCGAGCGGTCTGTGTCCAGAAGCTGGCCCCGTGCGCCTCAGCAGAGACGACAGTCGACCCAGGCGGGAATTCTGCGATCGGATCAGTATGGTTGGTGTATATGGAGCGGCCTCAACCAAACGGCGGACGACGGGACTTGGTTCTACCGACTTTCCTTCACTGCATCGTCTACCACCACGACCTGGAGCATGTCCCGTATCTGGGGCTTTGGCATTCGGCTAATTCCCGACATGATGAAGTGTGCCTAGTTGTTAGGGTGGTACCGAGATGGGGGGGCTGTTGCTGAGACCGAGTTCCCATTCCAAGGTTGGCGGACATCTCCCCCCATATTTATAAGCACATGGGCTGAATACTGAGGTCCAGCTTCAATTGGTGGGCTGGGCATGTTCCATAGACTTCGTGGTTGTACAGCGTTCGTGTCGATTTTCGCCCCGAAGTGGTTTCGGTGACCGAGCTGAGCGCGCCCACAGCCTGATTCCCGCTGTCGCCCACAGCCTGATTCCCGCTGGCAGGGTCGTCAAGTTGACCTGTCATACCACCCACCACTCCGATGTTGTGATGGTGACTTGTTGTCCAGTCTCATTCGGCAGGGCTCTGTCGCCCGCTCATCAATACACCTTGGCACACCCCCCTCCCATCGGTGTATCGTACCAGTGAAGCGCCTGTGGCGCTCATGCCGTGCGTGTGCCGAGTCCAGTCTCCAACGAGGGCCCTCGAAAGCAAGGCGTCAGCACCAGGCAACACCCAATGCAGCATGCTCAACAGTGGCGCGAGCGCTGGGCGTGTTTCCACTGGGAGCTACAAATCAGCGTGTCCCAGCCGTTACGTTACCTAGGTAAGTCATGGTGCCACATCCAAATCATAACCACATCACCATGGATTCGGTAAGGCCCCATTCCACGTACGCTGCCTTCGGAAATGGGAGGTCCAAAGTTCGTTGCTAAGTTGTTTATTCGCCCTCTAGAAATCGGTGGACAGCGAACGTTCACGGAGCGGATCCAGCAAACTCACCAGAGTCTTCTCCCATTTGACACGACGGCCCCGACCTCGTCTGGCAGGGCGCTCTACGTGGTCAACAGACCCTTCAACTCCCAGCATCAGCACATCACGGGAATCCGCCGAATTAGAACCCGAGAGGTCTAAGAACGAGTATGGCCTTGTCACTCTCTGGGAACCGGCGTCCGGCCCAGTCATTGCCGAGTTCATATTCATCCATGGGCTGGGCGGAGGATCTTGCACAACCTGGTGCAAGGACAACGATACATCGACCTTTTGGCCAAAAGCCTGGCTGCCGCAAGATGAAAGCTTCAAAGGTGCCCGCATCCACACCTTTGGCTACAATGCCGACTGGGCTACTGTGATGCGCAATCCGCTTGACGTCCACGCCTTTGGCCAGTCTCTGATCGAGGAAATTGCGAACAATCCCACGATGAAGAACGAGAGCACCAGAATCGTCCTTGTCGGCCACAGCATGGGCGGCCTCGTGATGAAGCGGGCGTGCATTTTGGCCCGCCATAACCCTCAATTCTCGCACATAGCCCGTCGCTTCCATTCCTTCTTCTTCCTGGGTACGCCGCACCGTGGGGCTGACATGGCCAACGTCCTCAACAATATTCTCAAGGCCTCGTTCGGTTCACGACGTGTCGTTGAAGGGCTAGTGCCGGGATCTGAGCTCATTCGCACGTTGAATGACGAGTATCGCGTTTTCTACGAAGACATCCGCCTGCACAGCTTCTTCGAGGGACTGCCTATGCCAGGTCTAGGTCTGATCGTGAGCTCAGATTCTGCAACTCTCGGTAAGTACACTTGCCTTTTACCCTTTGCAACATTGTTTCGCTCGCGCTTCAAACCTTCCGGACGATCAAAGACAGACTTTTGAACGCTGACTAGGCTTCGTCATCTCCACGTGCAGGATACCCGGGAGAACGTCCACAGGTGCTCAATGCAAACCACAGGAACATTGTACGATTCTCGAGCCCTTCAGACTCAAATTACAAGTCTCTCAGGAACCGTCTCGCTAGCACGATGGAGGAGATCAAGAGCACCGCTGGTCAAGTAGTGACCCTCGAGCCAGGGCCGCAGTCAGTGCCACGACCACCGTCCAGCCCAGCACGGTCTTCCGAAGACGCCGTCTCTCTGGACGTGTCAGAGGTCAGCTTTGACGAGCAAATCGAAGCAATCAGAATTTACCTGAGGATCGAGTTGTTGGCCGAGGACACCCTCACTTCGCTCCAGGAGAAGAAGCTCCGCAATTCCTGTTCCTGGATCACCGACAAGCCTCAATTCGAAAAGTGGCAGATTGAACCAGCTCCTCGATATTTCTGGCTCAAAGGTGCTCCGGCCTGTGGGAAATCCTTCCTAGCAAGTCACGTCATTGAACACCTCAGCCGTAGCCATAACCCAACTTGCTTCCACTTTTTCAAGGCAGGGAACAGGCTTGAGTCTGGAGTCAGCGGATTCTTGCGGTCCATGGCTTGGCAGATGAGCAAGGTGAACCCGCAGGTCCGCGAGGCTCTCCACCAACTCTCGCAGCGAGGCCCATCGATCGACGTTCGCAATACCAAGGCCATTTGGCACAGCATCTACACCACTTGCGTCTTCCGAAAGAAATTCAGCAAACCGTACGTTTTATCGATGCTTTGCTCCTGGGGGCACGATGCGTGGAGATTGTATAAACACTGACAGTCATTTGCAGACATTATTGGGTGATCGATGCGCTCGACGAGGCGGGCGACAGCGCCAACCTGGAGACGTACTTCGCGTTGCTCTCAAAGATCGATGAGGAAGTTCCCCTCAAAGTGTTCATCACGAGCCGCCCGAGCCAGGCGCTGGAAAACGAATTTAGCATGCTGCCGCAACCAAGGACAGTCGAGGAAGTTACCATCGAAGATACTCTGGCCGACATCGAGAAATATGTCCGGACTTGGTCGGTAAACCTCCCAGTCACCGAGCCAAGGAGAAGACAAGGGCTGGTGCAGACGATTGTGCAACGAGCCCAGGGATGCTTTCTCTGGGTCACCCTGGTCATGAAGCAGCTCAGCGATGCCGTTACCGTCGAGGAGATTCAAAGGGTACTCGACGACATTCCGCAGGAGATGAACGTGCTCTACAAACAAAACATGAGCAGAATGGTCGGGTCCAAGTTCCACGTGCTTGCGAAGCACATCATCACCTGGGCCTTGTGCGCCGTCAATCCCTTGAGTTTGGAACAAATGACCGAGGCTGTCAAACTCAGCAACAAGGAGACGTTGGCAGATGATCTCAAGACGAGGCTGCCGAACGTCTGCGGCCAATTCCTCGGCGTTGACAAGCAGCAGCGAGTTCACCTGGTGCACGAGACGGCTCGGGCGTTCCTCCTTGGCCAGGAGAATGACTCCAAGATGCGTTTCGATCTCAAAGAGGGGCACGCAATGGTCGTGACGGCCTGTCTTGAACATCTCGTGAGCAATCAACTGCGCTGGCAGAGGGGGCGAAGAATCAGTTCGGCGTCAGGTACCAGGAAGACGTCCATGGCCGATTACATCTGTTTGAGGTGGAGCGAACATTTGAGTCGTTGCTCGTCCCGAAGCGACAACGTGTTTACGCTTCTCGAGAAACTTTTCCGCACCCACGTCCTGTCATGGATCGAATGCGTTGCCCAGCTTGGCGACTTGGACTGTCTGATGCGGACGTCACGCCATCTGTCGAACTACCTCGGGCGAAGGAGCAAGCACTACCCGCTCGTTCCCGGCCCTTTGCACTCGTGGGTCACGGATTTGCGTCGGATTGTGACCCAGTTCGGCGTCAATCTTGTCAACAAACCCGACGTCATCAACACGCTCGTGGCACCATTCTGCCCGCGCGAGTCGGCCATTTACCAATCCTTTGGGTACGCAGAGGACGGCATTAAGCTGCTGGGGTCGTGGGACGCAGGGTGGGACGACAGGACTTGTTCCATGTCCTACCACGACGTGGACCCCACCGCCATCGCGAGCGTGGACCAGCGCTTCGCCGTTGGACTGTCAAACAACGCCAACAGTACGGTCAAGATCTACAATGCCTTGACGTGTGAGGAGGTCTCCTCGTTCTTGCACGGGGAGTTTGTGCGCGTCGTGGAGTTTGGAGCGACCTCGAACATCATTGCCGCAGCTGGCCTGAGACACGTCAATGTGTGGGACGTCAGCAGGGGCACGTGCTTGCTGGAAATCCTGGTGGACCAGACATTGGCGATGGCATTCAACGAGAAGCAGACGCAGTTGACCGTGGCGTCTAGAAGCAAGGTTTTGTCCGTCTACGACATCCAGACTGGGGGGCTTGTGCATCGATGCCCGTGGGCCGACCGCTCTGTTGACCCCAAAGCCAACAGTTCTCCTCCCATGCCGACTTCTGCCAAGATATCGGTGGAGCACCGGATGATGGCGGTCGTATACAGAGGCATACCGGTTCAACTTTGGTCTCTCGAAACTCAAAGGCCCGTGGGCCCCTGCATTCGAGGTGGCGGCAAAAAGCATGGCGACTCGGGCCACATGATCTGCTGCGTCGCTTTCAGCCCCAGCGTCACCGTCCCGAAACTCGCCGTTTCATACTGGGACGGCGAAGTCACCATCTTTGATATTCCAACCTGCAGGCCACTGATCTCCCTGCTTGCGGAGGTCGCCCAGATCGCCGTGTCGCCCAACGGCAAGACCCTCGTCGGTGGTGACGATAGAGGGGCCGTCAGGATATTTGACCTGGACACACTTCAGCTTCTCCAGCGAGTTCCCAGCTCAAACTCGGCCATCAAGTGCCTCGCCCTGGCGGGGGACAGTCTTCGAGTTGTCAGCATAGGCGCCAAGCAGCTCAACGTGCTGGAGCCCGTTGCCCTCGTGACCCAAGACAACGACTTGACCGGTAGCGAGCCCAGCGGCTCGCTCTACCAGACCCGCAAACTGGAACCGGAAGAGTTCTCGGAGGATGTGGTTACCATTACCTGCCTCCATTGCTGCGAGGAGAGTTCCATCGCCTTCTGCGGTCGAAGCAATGGCTGGGTCGACACGTGCGACCTGGACAACCCGGGGAAAACGACCCGTCAGCTCTATCAGCACCGCGGTTCTTTCACCAGCGTGACGTGCATCGACTGGTTGTTCTCCGCCAGGATTGCCGTGAGCGCCGACTCTGCGGGCAAATTCTACGTGATGCAGATTCAGACGGGGCCGCGACGGGAGTGGAGCGCGACACCGCTGCTCGAAGACCGGCTGGAGAGCGGCGCCTCCA